TTGGGGTTTTTGTTGGGTTTTGGATTTTTTTTACTCATTGCGCATACTTCTGAGTGTACACAGACCACCCACCTGTGACTTCTCCTCACACTCCCTGCGTTCCTCAGGGGGCAACTTGAACACAGAGATTAAAAGAAGTTAATATACTCTCCTACCTGGCCTTTCAGCTGGATCTGGTGAGAAAGCTGGACACACTCTGCAGCCTGCACCACTCTTGCAAAACTGAGGAGCTGAAACTCCACCTTCCCCAGGGTGTGCTCACTTCCTTGCTATGACTTATGGACTGGGGAGAGCAGCAACTGGCCAACTACAGCCCCAAATGCAACCGTTTATCACATGATGACTCCCCTGGAGTTTAATCTAACCTTCCACACCTGACCCCAGGCCCCCTGACACGGAAAACCACTGACGCCAAATGCTAAATTCAGTCTGGTCTTACAGCCACAGCTGCTTCGCTTCATGTTCTCTATGGAGAGCCAAGAGGAGTGAAGGTCTCATCCTAACACTCCTCAGCCCCAGGGCTGGTTTCCACTCGGTTCCCCAGTGCAGACCTGGCTGGGTACACCTCGCATTAGCAGCCTTAAACTGAGCAGGATTAACTGCTGCAAAGGCAGTCGGCACCCTGCCACGGCTGTGTTTACATTAGAGAAAATGGACCTCACAGAGACAGTTTGCAAACACCACAAGACGAACTTTTGTAAACTCCCTCGGTTTAGTCATCTTTCCCCATCTGTCAGAGAAGTTAAAGTGAGATTGAAAAAACACAGGAAATTACTGTGTATTCCAAGTAGTTGTGACTGAGCGGCTTGGCTGTTACATGGGATGCCTTGTGGAAGATTCACATCTCCTAACGTTTCCAGCAAGATCCTTTGCAGCGCTTCCCCGGCTGCAATCTTTTAGCAAGCTCTGCACACCCTGCCAGGAAAAGCCTCTGGGGTGCTTCAGGCAGCTGCAGAAAAGCTCATACCAATACTGAGGAGCCCAAAAGGTTACTTCCAGAAAGCAAGGGCAGCCCCTTTCTTCGAGGCTGCAAAACAAGGGACAGGCAATGGAAACAGCTTGGTCCCTTTGGGAAGTTTCCACGTGAGAGTTACGTTTGTTGAATAAAACACCAGATTAAATCCTTTACCTCACAGCAGTTTAAACCTTTCTATGATGTGACTGGCTGGCTCTTTTTGTGATAAAACTTTAGAAACCTCTTTTATCAGGGTTCCTGCCATGAGTAAGCAGCAATTGCATTTGCTACACCTCTGGCTACAGCCTTATCTCAAGAAGGCAATGAAAGGGCACCGAGTCAAACATAGGCTAGAAATCACCTTCACATCTCTGCTTTCGCCATAGCCCTTTAATCACCAGATCACCACCACAGAGGCAATCTGAGCTACTGGCAGCTGGAAAGGTCATTTAGCTGGGTGGGTCACAACTGGCACAAGTTTCCAGAGGGGCCACAAAGCAGCGAGACACACTGCAACCCACTTAGTTTGTTTAATTTCCCCTTTAGATCATGCTGCAGCTCTGAACAACCTCCCTGCTTCCCCTGCACAAACCTGAAGGGTGGTGGCACCCGGTGCACCGCTCTGGTGTCATGTCATGGTCTTCAGCAAAAGGACAGTCAGTAGATGAGAGACGTAAAAGAAGGATGGAGGTGGCACAGGAAGATGAAATGTGAAAAACATCTCTTCACCACAGCTTTGCTTTGGGGTGTAACACCTTCAGGACTGAAAGCAGCACTTCATTTCTGTGGCTCAGCCTGCGTTTGTTTTCCCTGTGGAGCCAGCTGCTACGCTGGCATCGCAAATCGGTGCCAGCTGAGGCTGTTTGAGTGCCGGGAATGCTTAAGTAACCCTATTAAGCTGTTTCAACAGTTTAGCTAATCCAGTAAAAATAGTAAAATTTTACTAAAAGTATTAAGTATATATGAAGCACAATGGTATTACACCCCATGTTTTGAAAAAAGGAGCGTAATTTGTTCAACTCAAATGAACTATGCATTTCCAAGGGAAATGTATTACTGGTTGAAAGCGATCCTGAAGATGACACTTCTGTTCTTGGTGACAGTAAAACAGACCTTACAACAGAAACATCTTTTTCTGTTGTTGTTTTCCATGTATTATTGAAGTACCATTATAAGCAGAAATTAGCCTGCTGAAAGGGACAGTATGTTATAGTCTTACACTCCAGAAGCAAAGTATCTTATGATAGGAAGTAAAACAGTCTCTCTAGAGAGAAGCTCTTCTGTCCAGTTCTTCCAGGCAGGTAGACCAAGATCAGGTTCAGAAGCATTAATTTAGCAGTCATGCATGGGACATATGGACATTAGTATAATCTTGGGAAAGAACTAGTTCTTGAAAATTTGTGATACTAGCAAAATGTCCTTAGTACTGGAGCATGCGATGGGGAAAAGGCTTATCTGGTTTACACTCTCCTCTCCACATGCCATAAATCAAAACAAACTTAAACCATGAAATTCATTCAGCCTAGCCCAGGTTGGAAACGCTATCAAGGTCTGTTGCATTTCTGGCAATTGGAGAAGGGTGTTTCCAGCTCCATTTTCTCATGTGAAACACCTCTGTCTCTTCTGAAGCAAACAGGATGATTTACTCTACTCCAGAGTCCGATACATCTGCTTTCAGTATTTGCCATTATTTTGTGAGGCAGGGTCTGGAGAAAGGCTGGCCTTAGCCTTAGGCCAGCCTTCAGAAATTAGATGACATTTCACCCCTTACAGACTCTGATGACACTCAATAAAACTGTCCAACGCTATAATGGGTTAATTTCTAGGTGTCCCTGGAATAAAAGAAGCTGTTAGAGAGGCCAGAGTAGACAGAGAGTTCTGTTGATCCATCACCTCAGCTGGTGCAAATTCAACTCAGAAGACTCTGCAATGGGTTATATGTGTGGGCTTGCTCATGATGACCAAAGAGCCCCTTGGGGTCAAAAAGCCTTCAGCCCCCTCTGAAGGTGTTAGCTGATTTGTGACTTGGGCAGCATTTGGCCAGGCATTATCCTTAGCTGTACATGCAAATCCACAGAGAAGTCTGTAGCTTCTCAGTGCACGTTCAGACTGTCCTAAAGGCTCCTGAAACCCTGAGGCAGCTGAGCTCTATCCTGGACTCAGCTTGAGGTTCACATGCAACTGCAGCCTAACCTCTTCAGCAGGGAGCAGTTTGATTAAATGGCATTTCAACGGGCAAGGGAGGGGAACATGGGGGAAAGGATCCAGTAGCCATTGGAGATGTAAAATTAAAATGAATTTTGCTCATTTTAATAAATATATATCAAGGAAATGTCACTTTACTACAACAACACATTAGTATACAAGCATCTAATATTTAAGCTTAAAACATCAAGTGTTTATCAAATATTGGAAAAGAGCAGACATTACCAGACTATTTGGGTATAACACAAGAAAAATCTTTTTTTTTAAAAAATTGGTCCTTGTGGACAAATGTCTAAAAGATGATCCTACTCATACACTGTATGAATGAGATCTATATTTAATATTATTAATTAAAAAAGCTTCTGTCTTGGAGAAATCAGGTGGGATTTATACTTTATTTGTTGTTTTTCACAATGATAACCCTTACAAACTTGTCAGTCCCAACTCACTTGACCACATAAAGGTTATCATTGATTTACATCCTAGATACTCTCTTTGTGGTCACTTTGGCTGGGGGTGGGGAACAGCTTTTTCCTGTGACCCCTGGCTTTAGTCACAAAAACTGTTCAGTTTGCAAGCACGACTGTGGGGTGTGCACGCTACCCAAAACAACCATGGCCCAGGAGGACCCAGGCTGAAACCATGAAACCCAGAGCAGGTCTCTGACCCAGAGACCTGGCTCACTCCAGCGCCAAGCCGGGTGCAGCCCGGGGCGTTGTCCCCCTGGGGACCCTGGTGCCCCGCGCCAAGCTGGCCGCTTCCCCAGTGCAGAGGTGAATTTCACCCTTTGGACAAGAACCAAGCAGAGAAGATGCCACTTGGATGCATGATGCTGTGGGAACAGGCAGCTATTATGAGTCAGCCGTGGCTTGGATGTGGCTATTTTGCCGAGCACATCCTGCCAGTTGTTATGGGGACTGTGGGAACTAATTAATTTGGTGGATCTAAGACTCACAATACTCTCGGTCCAACCCCGACTAATGTCTTCTGGGCATTTTAAACAGCACACTTTTGCAAACGGTCTACCTAGGGATGACTAAATGTTGTCCTTAGCCACTGAAATCTCAGCTCATTTCTCCAAAATGTTCTTTTTAAAAATTAAAACCCCTTACATTCATTCAGATAAAATGATGTTTATCACCACGTTATTGATTAACATTGTGCTTTTTGCTTTCTTTTCTTGTCTTTTTTTAAATCAACGGCAAAAGTCATAGAAAAATTCCTGCATGCTTTTGCAATCTAAAAGAGAGAAATTATGCGAAACAGAATAAAGTATAGAACATGCCACTGGATCATGAACTTCATTATACGAAGAAGGAAAAAAAAGAGCCCCAGCAACAGACAGTTGCCATAGAAACACTCAAGCATCGAAATGCTTGTTTACAAGAGACATCTCTCTATTGTTTCTTAAATCCCTTCCTAAGGATGGCAAATCAAAAAGCAATTGAGCATCAAAAAGGAAGAACAGAGATGTTTGAATAGGAAGTTGAACTCAGTACTTCAAAGGTTAAAGGTTTCTAATAATATTGATCCACCCTTTGGGTTTGTTGTTTTGTTTTGTTTTGTTTTTTTCCTCTGTTTAGGTTAAATCCCTGCTGTATCACTGATTTATACTTAATTTTCACGCTAGCAAAAATTAAGACAAAAAGTAAGGCACCAAAAAAAAAACCTGCCCTGTATAACAACAAGCCTCATTAGTTATTACAGCTGAGGTGAAAACATGCAAGCACTTGAGCTGCATGTTGTGTTTCTGATTAAGATCTCATAAACAGGTTATTTCTTTATGCTATGTCCTATTTTGTCAGTTGCACAAGATGCTGAATACAGGAATTCAAGAGTATCAGTACAAAATGTAAGGATGGTTTATTCCCAGTCCATGTCGACAGTCCTTTGTCAGAACAAATACTGAGTTACAAGGAGCGCATCACCCTTGCTGGTAGCATCAATTTGTTTACCAGACTTCTAATTCCTTGGTAAACATAATGGAGGTTCTTCTTAATTAATGGCAGACTTCTTGGGAGCGGGGATATATAAAACAATATGTTTTCCCCATCTGGCTGATTGGTATTTTCAGTAACGAAAGCTGCACCATAGCTGTACGAACTATAGTGCTAAGCAGTAACCCAACTGCGTTCTTTATGAAGTCTCCATATTTATAAATAGCCCGCTGATGCAGATCATAGAGATGCTTTAAGCAATCTGCTCTCCAGTCATTTAAAACTACACGTAATGTCTGTGGCATGATTGTATCATTTGTAGAAAACTATAAAAAATCCATTCAAAATAAAAATTTGACGGACGAACGAACGTGCTGCGCATGCTTCAACTGAGCAAGAAAGATGCCTCATATTTTACTTCCTTTGCTGCAGCACATTTTGTTACTTGGTAAAGATTCCTTTTTCCTTAAGGATTTTTTCCAAGATTCGCTTATGTTGCTCTTGTCATTACATCCAGTCTCAAAATAGTCATAAATTTTGCCTTTACATTCAAGAGTATGGGTGCCTCTTACAGGTTCACAGTTTAGGGCGACGCTCTCTCGCTCAGGTTCGTTACCTCCTTTCTCGTCATTAAATTTTGCCTTTTCCTGATCACCGTGAGACCCGGCATTAGTGATGAATATTTCATTTGCAGGTATCTGGTCACCACTCCTGTAAGAAGGGGTGCTGCCATTGTCATAATCCACCTGCTGGGAACAGCTCGGCAAAGAAATGGGAGGGGAGGAGGAGGAAGAGGAGGAGGAAGAGGAGGAAGTATTTTCTGTACTAGCATTAACAGAGTAGGGTAGATTTAAATAGTGACTGCCACACTCTTGATAGAAGCAGCACGTGTGGAGCTTCTCGTACTCCTCCTTTGCCATCCGAAGGCGTTTTCTGTATGGACAGTCCTGAGGCACAAACCACTCCTGTGGCGAGGTGCCACTGAAGGAGCAGGCAGAGAAGCACCAGTTGTTCTGCATGATGATCTCCCCGTGGATTCTCTTCATTAGATTGTTGATGAGGACTGATCTCCGCAGGTAGACTTCAGGATCATCAATGAATTTCAGCTTTTCCAAAGACATGTAAAGAATATGGGCCCGCTCCTCAAACACAGAGATTGTCTGAAAATGCAAAAGACAGAAGAGATGGAACCGAAGGCAACCGGTTTTGTTCCAGGCAAGGAGAAAGAAAATGACGCAACATATTCCCCCCATGCCACTACTTTTCTCATTCTCTTTCTGAGGTGCCTAAAACTGGCTTTTCATTTTGCACACCCAGTGTAGCTGGAGGCCTGTTTTTTCTTGGCCACAGCATCCACCCCAGTTTAGAAGGTAAGTAGCTGAGCGTTTCACCACAGAGGCAATCGCAAGGCACAGATCTGGGCTGGGAGAGCGAAATCCAGATGCACAGATCTGGCGTTGTATTTGCATTTGGGGTTAAAACATAAAATTGTTGTGGACTTTTGCTCCAGTGATGGCTGGGGTCCTTTTGATATAAATGGACACAATTCCGTCATCCCCTGTGGGGCTTCTACAAAGCTCTGAAGCCAAGTGAAGGTCCCCTCCTGCAGCCTCAAGGTTTGCAAGAGGCAGCCAGCAGCCATCACCTCATACCGCAAGTATCGGAGCATTTCATCCACTGCCAGCGGTGCCTCCTCCAGCGAGGAGGTCTCCATTTGCCAAGCTCCCTTACACTGCTCTTGTGCACAAACGTGCACACAGGGAGGGAGGCAGAGAGAAACCCATCTCAAAGCATCACAGCATCTGGAGAGCAGCTGTTGGCCTGCGTACTACACCCCGCGCTCTACAAGACTGGTGGGAACGCAGACAGGCAGGGACAAGGTCAGGAAACGAAGAGAGGATAGGGATTTGCAGAAATCCTGGCTCGACGCCCACAGATTTGTTCTCCCTTCCATGGTCCTTCCAGGACGCCCTTTCTCAGCAGTGGCAGCACGAGCAGGTTACTGCCCCCGGGAGGCCCCGGATTCTGCGCTGTAATCGCTACCCTGGGAATCAAAATAAGAGAGGGGGCAATGCGTGCTACTGTAAGCACTATTAACTAATTTTCATTTTTAGTAAGAATTTGGTTTGCGTGGGAGGAGAGCAGCACAGCACAAAGAGAGACTGCTCGAAATCCCCCCCATCTGTGGCTTGATCATTCTTCCCTTTCCCACATGGTTACAGCATTTTTGCAGAGTGGAAGTCGTAGCTATGAGGACTGAAAGAGCTTAAAGCACAGCTGCTTTTCACATCCATTCAGCTCTCCTCAACCCTCTAGTTCTTTCCACAGCCTGGTCCTGTCTGCAGGGCTTAGGAGAAGCACAGTACCTCGTAAAAACTAAAATTGGCTGTGTTTTCATATGAGTTCACAGCTGAAGCTCTTCTTTGTTAGAGAGAGTAATTTTCTACAACAACTGACTCATTTTAAATTATACGAAGCCTGTAAGTTAATTTGTATCCTCTATACCTGCTGCAGTAGTAGTCAGTGAAGCCATAAAAGCCTGGAGCAAGCCAGTACGCTTTGAACCGTGATCCCCCTGGAGATATGTCCTGGAGGACCACCAGTAGGAACAAGTTGTCAAAAGCTTTCTACTACAAATGTCTGCCAATAGGCCTGGAGAGGGGCTCCAGGCCCTACTGTCATACCCCCTATGGGACAAGGAATCTCTGAACATAACTCTTTCTTTATTGGGCAGTGGAGGTAAGAAATTTAAAGAAATCTGGTGGGCATCCTCCCTTCCCCAGAGCTCAGTGCTGCAAAGTAGAAAACACATTTGTGCTGAACGGAAGGAACAGGTGACATGATGCACCTCTACAATAGCATAGGTCTAGATAAGTAACTATTCCTCCTCTTTGCAAGGAAAACAATTACTGATACAGAAGTCCAAGTCTAGCCAAGAAAGAAACTGGCTGAAATCAGAGTGTGATGTGACATGTGGGAGGCACGCTCGCTAACCAGAGCATGTTTTTCAGCACCCTCGGTGCTATTTATTCATGGCTCTGGCAGCAGACCGGACACCTTCTGGAATTAACAGCAGGGCAGTTTTCCACCTTCCCGGTCAGGTGCTTACTTCCAGCCAACACTATTTGTAGCCGAAAATTCTTTTGGCTCCTCTAAGGTCCTTGGGAAGCGAGCTCGGTGTTACTGCTCACTTCTCCTCTGTGGAAATTCCTCCAGGGAAGCAGGATCCCACTGGGCAGACCTCCCTGCCCAGTGTCCATGGTAGGGATGAGGCACTCGGTTCTCCTCACATCTCAGAAGGCTGCCTTGGTGTTGCAGGTAAAGACGATGTATAAACTTGCCCCACATCTTGGTCTGTTTTAGCTTTCTGTCTCTGGGGTTCTTGTGGTACTATTGCCTCCTAAAGCTGTGCTTTAATCAGATTATACCATGTCCTCTCTATCCCCAATAGTACACGGGTAGCACTGGACTGCCATGGGCCAGGTAGGATCCCACAAGGTGGGATGGTGTCTCAAGGTATGAGCTATCCTTAAACACATTACTCCAGAGGTCCAGTTCCCTATGGGACTGAGCCCTTAATGAATTACAGTATAAAATCTCTCATTAAAAAAGTTAGATTTCAGTTTATGTATTCCCTGGCCTGGGAACTGTTTGCTCTAATCCCTCCCCTGACAGCTTTCATTTAAAAAAAAATATTCTTTCATTTACTAATCTGTTCTTTTGGAGTTATTAGCTTTTTAATAAGCAGGATTAAATACTGAAGGAGCTTGTACTTGCTTTCCAAGTCATTCTGTTTTTCTAGAGGATCTGTAATCCATTTGGGGTACAAGGAATCTATTAATGTTTTCTCCCCTGTAAAAAGTTTTGAATGAGTGAGGAATCATGGGCCCTTTTTATTTACGTTCTTTGTTTCTGCTGTTCAAACACTGCTAGGGAGCTGTTTCTGTAAGCATGATATAAACTATCTAAGAACAAAATAATAATAACAAAGTTACTCTGAGCATTTCCACTTACAGCTGTTATAAAAGAAGGAACGCCTTTGCTTCTTAAGCAATTTGATGACAAAAAACCAATAAATGTGAACAAGTGACAACTATTTGTTTCTGAGTAAACAGCTGGATCCTTCTCCTAATCTCAGCAGAGTATTTCAGCCTTCTGGAAATGGGTCAGCCGAGCGTTACTAAGCATCTGAAACTCGGAGTAAAAATAACGACTATTAGAAAACATACTTTATGTGTACAGCTGCTGAGCGGCGGGTGAAAATCCTCTTCTTCCACATATTTCCTTTTAAAGTATGTGATCTTGGGTGTTGTTACGGGATTTGAAATTCCCCTGTAATGCGATCCTGCGGGCAATAAATCAGATATGACAAATGACATGCGGTTTGCCGGAGGTTCTCCAAACAAAATACTTTTTAATTTCCCTTGGCGCTGCAGGAGAACCCCACCGCCTATTTCCACGTCTGTGTGCAGCGATCACAAACCAGCCCCTCACCTGACGGAGGCGGGA